TTCTGGAAAAATCTGATGCTGGACAACAATAATTTTCCTTAATCTTTCATGCAAAGACTAAAACAATATTTCAGTAAGATTTGCAGAGAAACCAGGTTCAAGGCAAGAAGATCTGAGTAGCTTCATGAGCATGGTGCTGTGCTTCTGTTTATAGGCCTAGCCACTTAGCACGACATACTTGGTTCAAAACAGTGCTGTACCAGATAGGTACAAGTTCACAATTTCCTTGGGCTAGCCGAGCTCAGGCAGCAGCATTCAACTCTCACTAAATACAACCATGTAGCTATAGCCTAGACAAAACCCAAAGTTGCTTAACCAAGATCCTACAACAAATGACAAGGCTGGAGTAGAAATCCACTTTCCTGCTCTCAGACTTGCGTGTTTTAAGACCTATTCATAAAGAGCCACTCCTACTTTGGACATCTGTACTTTTTTAAACTTTATGTCCATTTCTGGATTCTGCACAACATTTCATATGTCTGCATATGAAGATGATGATGAAGACATGTTTTTTCTTTCTTCAGACTAATAGAAAAAAAAGAAACAAACTGACTGGTACAGCAAAGGCTTATCTATTCAACATCTTTCTCTGCCTCACTTATTACCAAAATACTGAACAGTGACTAAATACTGACATGCTTCGTTGTAACTGAGGGTTAAGAGTACAGGAATAAAGAAGGAGAGAACGAATTAGCAAACTACAGGAGGCAGACACTGGATCTCTTATCTGGGTTTGAACCACAGTAAATCAAACTTCACCACATATTCAAATGTCATTTGTCCATGACACAAAATGATTGTCAACGCAGTCATCTTTTCAACATCCCATGTCGATTTTCACTGCAACTTTTCAAAGTATTATCTTAGTATAAATGAAAATGCTGTTTAGACTAAATGTAAAAAAAGTGTAGTCTCACAAATTAAAAGAAGACACCAACTAGCTGAAGAGAATGATGAATTCTTCCCTAGATCAGTTAAAAACAGGGCAAGAAGTAACTGATTAATCTGCATCAAGGAAGTAGGGGATTCTATATTATAAAAAAGTCTAGCTACAAGGATAGCTAAGTGTGGGAACAGCCATCAATATATCGAAATGTCCATTATTAAAAGTATCTGAGAACAGGGCACAGATTCATCTGCCAGTAATTATTTGTCCATGATTTCCATATGTCCTGCATAGCCCTATGAACCCAAGAGGAAAAGCTACCAGTGAAGTTTAACAGGGAAAACCAGCCTAACGTTGTTGTATTCAACATCCAGGATCTGTAAAAAGACTAGTGAAATGTTAAGGGTATAAAAAAAATATAAAATATCAAAATCATTCATCTTGACATTCCAGTCCTGACTCCCAGCAGGAAAATGATTTTGAAATCCTTTCCCTCCCCTTATGTGTAAGATAGTCAAACACATCTCAACATCCCTTTTTGCATCCGTTGTGCCAAGTCTGTAATAATTGTTCCTGATTACCTAAACATCTCAAAGCATTTCACAAATAATAGAAAAACTCCTGTTACACTGAGGAAAAATAATCCTGTATGTGTTCACAGTTTGTCTCATGTAAACACTGCCACAGAGATCTTAGATAATTAATTAAATTCAAGAGTAATTTCAAAAGCTGAATTTCATCAAGCAGGTATGATGATTTGTCATTAATGTATTAGCAAATTTTCAAGTTCTTTTAGGGGACATGTTCTCTTCCACTATACATTAAAAAATGCTGGTCTGTCTGTTACGAGATTAATTGACAGCCATATATCAGGCTCCTTTCTTTTGCTGGTTATAAAGGAAAAATATACAACCATGTGTAAGCTGCTTGTGATGATTATTTACAAAAACTTCCAGATTCTGACCCAGCCTCTCTGCTGTCATAACAGCAGTCACAGTGTGCCCATGAACCTAAAATGGACAGCCCAAAAGAGTTACTCTCTTGCAAACACAGACTTAGAGCTGAGCAATTGGCAGGGAGCAACAGGAAGCCCAAGGCTGGCTGGAGCAGGTATCCACCAGAACTGATTCACTGACATTACAAAATATCTCTGCAAAAATCACAGTCAAGGGATGCTGGGACAGTTTCCCCTCTCTCCTCCCTCTCCCAGGCACTGCACTTTTCTGATGCATACATGACAGCTCACTGGTCAAAAGAATGGATGTGCTAAGGCAGGACATGAACTCCAGGAATAGCTGAAAGCATCAGAGGGGTTTTTTTCTAGTTTGGCTTCAGGACAGCAATCCTCAGAGGGTTCCTAGCTAACACTTATTGGCATTAGCATGAAGATGCACTGCTGCTGACACCATTTATAGCACTACTTACAGAGCTGCCAAGTCCAGACGAATACTTGAGGGAGGTTTGTCTTGTGCTGGAGTGAGATTGTACACTCACTGCTGGAGGGCAGTGCGAACTTTGTTCCACTTGCTTTGCTTTCTCTCTCTCCTGACCTCTCTTCCACCCTGCCCTCCTCCAAATCCACCCATCTGCTCTTGTCCCTCACTTCTCTCCAACCGTGCTGGCAGCGTGGGAGGTAGCATACCCGTAACTCTGTTCAGTTCTTCTTCTCAGCACTACCCTTCCCATTGCCTCTGATACTTGAGTCCAGAGCAACAAGTCAAGCACATGTTCATGTGTGACAGGACTCATCAATGAACTTCAGGTATTGGAAAATGAAAACTAGAAGAGCATTACAGTGAGGAACAGGAAGAATAGAGAGGAGATTAGAAGTGATTGACAGGGGCAAGTCCCAAATACGGGACTCTCCAGCTTCAAGATTGGTGACTGTGTTTGTTCCAACACACTCACTGGCAGCAGTGCTATCATCAAGTTTATGAAGCTATTTATAGAGGAACTGAATACAGAGAAACCCATGAAAAATTCTCACCTTTCTCTTTCTGATATGAGACTAAAACCAATAGATCACTGCTAAAACCTGTTCCCCTAGCAATAGATTGGTATTTCTTGCTCTTGCTAAAATTGTGAGTTCTGGTTCATGCAGGTCTCTGCTCTGTCAAGAGTCAAATAGGAAGCAAGTGCTTTTGGCTCAAGATCTTGCAGTATAGAGATGACATTGTGAAAAAGAGTTTCTGTCAGAAAAAATTCATATACCATTGTTTTTCCTCATTAGGTAATATACAGAAAAACTGCTTTCTGGTCACTGTGGTACAAGCACCAAGGAATAACAGTTGCTCTCTGGTTCTTTGCAGATTTCACCCTTCAGTGAAGAACAGACAGGCTGAACAGTGATTCTGCTGTTATCCATGATCTTCTTTTTAAAGACTGAAATAATTTTTTTCATTGCACCATGACATGCTTTGGATGAAACAAATTGATTACTTTCTTCATCAGGAAGTGCCCCAGGATTCCAGTAACATTTAGGAAGAGTCTGAATTCCCCACCACAGGATTTCAAGGTGTTCTGCTTCAAAGTACTCACAGGATGATGTAGGGTGAGGGTTTTGCCTGAGATCTTCCAAATTTCCTATCTCAAGGATTCAGAAAAGAGATTCAGCCAATTGTCTCATGGCCAGAGCAACTAGTGAAGGAAACCTAAGTCTTGCAATTTAGCATAAGAAGGTCCATGTACAAAGGGAAGAACATTCTTACTGAAAGAAACCTAGTGGTAAAACAAGCAAGTGGAGAAGACAACAAAGCAAAGATTCAAGCTGGCCTTCCTAGCAGGAAACTATCTAATCTACATTTGAAACGTGATTGATGTTGGCTGTCTGCCAGAGTAAGCCTAACAGTGGAGAGAAGGAATTTCTCGATTACCTCAGTCATGTGCAGGGACTTTAGCAGCACCACTGACTATAGTACAGACTGGAACTGTGAGATGCCAATACATTGCTCAGCTGGGGCTGCACAATATCTCCTGCAGGACTCTCTTAGGTTAATAGCCAAGAAACAGATCTTTCACATACAAGTAAGGCCAGAAAAACACATGCAGTATAATCTCTAACTGCAAAATATGAACAGTGTAAGCACTAAGTGTTCCCTTTCAAAGATGTCTTGTGGCATCCTTACAGATGTATCTGCACATTACTGACCATACCTAAAGAGATCATACTGATGTTCCTCTGTAAAAACAAGAAATAAGAATTTCTGCATTCCTCTAGTGGTGTCTTCCCCAATCTGACTAATGATTAGGATCTACTGAAAAATATTTTTTAATTCAAGCAAATCTCATTAATGATCTACCATTTCAATTAAGTGGCAGTTTCTCAAATTTTCTGAGCACAGCAATAAAAGTGGATCTCTCATCATGTGGTAATGGTCAGATATCTTTCAAGATTCACATCAGTTGGGCTATTTTCTGGTTCACTGGAGCTATACTATTTGAAAATCCTGGGAATCCAATCTATTTAGCATTCTTAAGGTCCTATACACATTAACACTCTTAGTTAAAGTGAGTGAAAGGTTTCCAGTACTTTAAAAACCTATTCTGGAAGGGGATGAAGAATACATATAAGACAACTACTACAAAACTACCCTGTGCAGAAAAGATCTTTCTCTAGGAAGAAAAAAGCTGCTGTTTGAAATGCACATGTTCAGCATAGCCATTTTTATTTTGTCTTATTCTAAATTCTTTATAGGATACACATTTTTATTTAACACTTTCAGTGTGTAAGTTGCCCCACTAAAGTTGCCACAGTCAGGATGATTTACCTGTCCAGTCTGCATGTATGACCATTACTAGAAAGTGGCTGTAAGTCAAAGAGAGCTCAGGTAAGCAAAAGGAAGTAGGTTAAAGACACATCAGACCCATTATGCTGCTCACAGAGCAGATGCACACTGTCACTGGGAGGCTGGTTGGGCACACATGGCTCCAGGTCAATGCCAGGCTGATCCTGGCTGCGCAAAGCTGGCTTGGAGTTTGCTGTATAGTATATCATTTAGGGGATCTTAGATGATAAGGAGTCTGGTACAACTGAGTTACATAAGACTTATGCTCAGATTCTGTTCAAATAATACTGTAGAAATACAGTTGCTACATTAGGATGGCATCTTCTGACATGGTATGGCTTCTAACATCTCACAGTATTTCACAGTGTTGCCATACTGCATCACTGACATGTAACTACATGCATTCACAGATCAAACTTAAGAAAGAGACAGTAAAGGAAACCTAAGACCCCACAATCAGTTTTGCCCACAATTAAGCTGTACCTAAGCAAAAATACACATGTAGAATTTATAGCAGGTGAATATGAACTCATTCTCCTGCAGTCAGAGCTGGTGAATACAAATGAAATCACTGCTAAAAATACAAAGCTCAAATTAGTACTTTAGAACTTTCAGCAGAGCTGCACTAATATTACATGTAACCATGTAACACCAAAGCACTAACTGAGAATTAAACCAACAGGAAAAAGTAGTGCACACCTGCCCTAAATCCTCCTAACAAGAAGTTACCCAAAGCCATTTGAGCTCAAGTGTAAAATATGAGCAGGAACAACACTTGCCTTATTTCTTTCTTAAGTTCTAACTGGGAATACATCCCATTAGCATCAATAAAGATATGGTCAAATTGGTCAGTGCAGCCTAGAGAGTGATTCTGCTGACTCTAAACCAGACATTTACTGGCAATGCTCCAGGATCCATGAACCATACTTGACTATATTTCTCCTAACCATAGCAGGTCCTTAGAAACTTAGACTACCTTAGAATTTCAGCTACCTACCCATATTTAGCTGTTTTCTTCTCCAGCTAAGTCATGCTCAAATGGTGTAATTTAGTTGCCCATCCATATAATGTACTACCAAATGAGAGGTCATAAGATATCCTAATTGGTCTTAAGCTGTTGCTTCAGACAGGCAGAGGTCTCCCTTAGGTCCATTGTCATATATACCAGGCCTATACAAACATCTCAACGGCTTTAAAGTCCCTTAAATGTCAGCAGATGCCTATTTTTAGAAAACCGAATCAACAAATAATCTCTGGTAGCAATGAGAAATTCAGGTCACAAGTTTACGTGTCAGTATATCATTGTAACCCACTAAGGGACTCTGCTTCTTATGAAGGCAAATGAGGACACTGGCTGTAGCATGATGAAGAGGTGGCTCTGGTGTTGTTTCTGTAGCTGTCATGACTGCTGCTACTCAAGGCCTCTCTACCCAGTGCATTCTTGTGCAATCCAAACTTAGCAGTCTTAGCATTTACATCACCAGTGATGGATCTGAGTTAACCTAGAGGAAAGTCTTTGAGATGTTAGCTGCTCCCATCATTTCATCTGGGTTCTTCTACAGTACCATTTATTTCATAGTTCTTTCATGAATGAGGTTTTTCACACGTAGTAGCTAGTGACTGCCTTTTGTTTCTTTAAAATGAAAAGCTGATGTTTTAGTGGATAAAAACCCTGCACTAGCTGTCAGTATATATTTTCTCATTTCAAATCATGCTGGTGTTATTATATTATAGTGTCAAGTAAGGGAGAAATAATCAAAGCCAAGCACCCTTTAATAACATATCACTGAACCTGAAGAAACTCAGTGGCACAAGTTTAAGGTGCCAAAACCCAAAATCCTCATCCAGTAAAGTCAGCAGCATGTTGGTTTTTCCTTCCTAGGAAAGAAAAGATGAGTCAGTCCTGCTGAGATATGAACATATGGCTCTAACAAATCTAGGGATTCAGAGCCTGATGCTTAAAGCACTGTGATGATCCTGTAGGACAGTGATACCAAAATAACTTGTATTGCCTTTCAAGATTTTTAGGCTGTTATCTTTTGTTTTCCCCTATTAGTTATACAGCCTATTGTCTTCAGCAAAAAATGTCCTCACAGTCATGCATAATCCATGGATTACCAGAAAAAGAATTGAAGTAATTTAAAGATCTAGTGAGCACATGTATTTGGGGACAGAATTGAGATACAAATGGAAGAAACAACCGTGTTTCTCCAATGAAAGACAAGCCAAATAAACAGCTCATTATCTATGAAAGACACTTCATGAGATGAAATACATATTGTAATACGTCCATGAGATTATTTATACTGTGATTTAGTTTTGCTTACAAAGGAAGACACTGATACATGCCTGAAGAACCAACAGAGAACATAAAGCTACTTCAGGGCTTTTTAAAGCATGACCTAGGTTATGTGCTTACTTCTAAAAGGTAGAAAGAACACGATGATCTTGAAAACAGTGAACTCTAGTTGGAGGCGGCCAAACTTGTCTTTATGTCCACACATTATTTTTTCCAAAGCATTTTCAGCCTTACCACAGGTACACTCTGTTCATTCTGCATTTTCTGCACTTCTGACAGCAGATCTGACCCTGTCACACCTTGGACTCACTCCTTTGTACTCCACATTTCCTGAAGCAGCTTCCCTTTGTCTTGCCTTGTTAGGTCTTTATTTCTTTTCAAATGTCTTCTAAAATTTCAAATAGCGAACTCAAAATACTAGACCTAACTATGTTTGGATTCTGTTTTAAAAAATTTAACCCACACCCATACTTTGCAGCTGATCACTACTCTATTCAGGACTCCAGATCCAAAGTGCAACAAGTTTTAAGCCCTCTTGCAAATGTTGTATCTCGTGCCCCTTGTCACAACTTCAGCTTTGAGCAGAATGTTCCCTTCCCATTTAAAAATAAATAAAATTAAGCCAGGTATTCTCTTCCACCTTTTATTCCCTTCATACAGGTTTAGATTACATATTCTATCACCCTATTGGCTTTCATTTCAACATCCAACACAAAGATATGCCCACCCTGAAATTACTACCCTAACCACAAAATCATACCTGTGTTCTCCTACACTTGTATTTTAGGACAAATGGGTAGCACATAGTGATACATACATTTGGGACACTGCCAATCGTAAGATTTGTAATAGCATAAGAATTGTATTAACAATTAAAGAAAAAGATGAAATCTGAATTCTTGATCTCATCATTCAAGAAACAGACCCCAAATTCTATGATTCATTAATGTGGTAAGAGATTCACAGTTTAGTTTTGAAATATCATTTTGTTTATATAATTTGAGTTGATATTTGTGTGAAAAGCAGCCTAGAAAGTATGTTTGGAGAATAATAACGGTCTATGGACTAAAAATGATTGGTACTGCCACCCTGAAGTACAAGGGTGTAGGCTATGTTCTGTTCTCACTTGTTTTATCTCTTTGGGGTAACCAGTGAGAACTGCATGGCACATTATTTATGAAAGTCAGCAGGTTCATCTTAGAGCACATTTTCCATTATAGATAAAATGTTTATCATATACATGCTCTATAGACACACAACAGAAGTACAACCAATGTCTCAGGGACTAGAATATAAGCAGCCTCTGTCTGACAAAGGCCAGGTCCTGGGATATTTTCAATTCCTTACAGAAAACAAAGACCAGAGATATTCCTATAAAAAGGTATTAAAAAAGCTATTATTTAGCCTTTTGCTGAATGTCACTTCTTTTACATAAAATTTCTACAATATACAGACAACTGTTTAGCATTCACATCCTCTGCTTTGGCTTTTCGTATTACACTGAGATTATTACAGAATAAAGGTTACGCATTCCCATCACACTGAATTCTGTAATATTCTACCTGTTGAATACTAGTGTGTTGCTCACACATTTCTTATCTTCACCTCATTTTCCCTCCCCATCTCACTCCAGGTGCTTACCCTATTTAGAGCACAAAAACTAGGGCCTCTGTTTTCCCAGTGATTCCAGGCATTCCCTTACTTTTAACTCAGTAAAGCCAGTGGCAACAACACAATTCTAATACTTTTAAAATAAGAATTGTATGTTGCTCGCACTGAAATGAGTGGTAAATGTCCTAGCTCTGGATTAAATCAAGAGAGTAAGAATTAAATGGTATTACCATCTTATGCACTCTTGTCTTAAACTGATACAGTCCATACACTAACTACATAAATCCACATAAGCCCCAGAAGCCGAACCAACACCAACCCAATTACAACTGATATCATATATCTTTCTCCCATAAGCAAACTCCATCACTTGAAGTTGCATCAGTTTTCAAGAGTTGCCCAAGGGACTTTTCTGTCCAAAAGTCATTATTGGATTAGTCTTGTACATATGTGGCAAAAAAAAAGAGCATTGGTATTCTTCACTGAAATAATAATTCTGTCCTAACCTCTCCCACTGCTGACAACTCTACTGCTCTTCCTATCTTAGACTTACAGCTTCATATAGCCTCTGATGTTTTCCATTCCCCTTTTCTTACAGTACAGATTACATCTTAATGATACCCTACCCTTCATCTTTCTTAGCTTGACTAGAGTTCCATGTTTCTTCACTACTACTAAGAAGCTGCTGTCCAGTCTTTCAGTCTGTTACTTTCTTACTCCTAATTTTATTTTTCGGAACATTAGTTTTACCATTTCCAGGGCATCTTAAAGGCAACAATGATGAAACTAATAACTCTCTGCTGTCTTTCTTCCTCTCCTCCTAACTTGGTTATATCTTCCTATCTCTTACCACATTAGGGTCCACAGTATTCATCTGCCTCCCCTGCACGCTCCACACAGCCTTAGTAAAGTTCTGATTTCTTCATTCCCTCTTGCTTTTTCTCAAAACTCATCAAATTTTCCACCTTACTGTATTTGGCACAGCATTACTGCACCTACACCAATGCACTGCCAGGAGTGTCCTCCTGTTTATCCGATTCCTATTCTCCTTCAAATTTCACTTTAAAATAAACTCCTTACATTTGTTCTACAACCCATGCATACTAGGCACAGCAGAATCCTGGTCTATTAGATGTGTGGGTCAGTAGCCAACACAATTTTGTGATACCACTGGCGTGGGACCAGTACCCTCTGAGCATGGGTCATTTGCTGGGATCAGAGCTACATTTTCACACATTACAGCTTCCCAGAACAGTCTTCATAGACCAAGATACTAAGATAGTGCAGAAAGATATTGTCACAGTTGCACTCTGCTTCTTTTCACATTATCTTCTTGAAAACACAGGACAGAAATCAACACCTTTACTCATCTATGCCTTTATAATCAAGTTTGCCTTCTGCATTTGCCTCTTTGAATAAAAGGACAGAAAAAGCAAGAACTGCAGCAATTTGTAACACTCCACTAGTGGCATCAGTTTAATTTGTGCTGAGCAGCTATTACTTAAGATTTTTCAAACAGTTAACAAGAGATGGTGCAGCCCTGATACCTGCATTTGGCATTTGAGACTCAGCTTGTTGTCCCACATATAGGTTTCCAGCACTGCTTGAGGTGCCGCAGGTGAAGTGAGAAATACCATGGCAGGTGACACAGGACCTATGGAAGACTTGAGACCCCCCAGAGCAGCAGCTCGGGAATATCAAAGGTGTCTTAGATACTTCTAATAAGAAATTCAATTGAATCTTCAGTGTCTGTAAAGAAGCTCAAGTGATACTAGCTTGCTCTAGTTTTAAAGTGCAGAGACCTTATTTCTTAATTGATGTGATCTGTGTATGATGACAGGCTGTTTTGCTCCCTCCTAATTATTTCAGCATTTGATTGCAATACATATGCTCTTCTTTCAATAGCAGATCTTAGATTGCTCTAAACAAGTTAATTATATTTCGCAACACCCTTGTGCATAAGGGAAGTATTAACATTTCTGGTTTGCAGTCAAGGAAAAAAGGAGGAAGAGAAAGGGCAGGTGGCTTACTGAAGGTTAAACTCTAAGTCAGTGACAAAATCTGAAGATAAACTCCAGACTCTCAACCACAGTTTAATTCTCCACAGACCACTAACTCCCACCCTAAATGTAAGGATGGTAATAAATGCATGATTTTAGAGTCCCAAAGTGCAGAAAGACGTTCTATACAAACAACGTATTTGTGAAATGATGCAGGAACTTGTATCAAAACTTCAGAGTTTCAAAACATCAGTGTAGAGATAAACAATAACCTGGAAATTCAAAAGGATTTGACAATCCATAGCACTGTAATGACAGCAGAAAACTGCAGGCACAACGGATGGAACAAGACTGAACTCCATTTGCTGCCTACTGAGAGCATCACTAAGACAGACATCCTTCCCTTGGAAAAGACAGCCACATTTAGGGATAATTTCTGAGCATATTGGAAACAGTCCAAAAACCTTTCTTTTCTACAAAGAAACAGCAATTTTAAGCAGACAACTTTTAGAAAAAAAGTTGATATTGTGATAACAATCAGATATCTCAGATAGGATGAGGGGGCACTAGTTTAGGTACTGTATAAAATTATATGTGAAAAGATACTATAAGCCAATTCAAGCATGAACAACAGGTGGGTGCAACAAACAGCAGGAGGAATGCAGGGAAAAAGAGAGTTAAGAACAATAAGGCCAAGAATTAATGTCTTCACATGTTGCTATAAATCCAATCTCGTATTCTGAAAAGTATAGATGGGAAGTTGTATGAGGCATGAAACTAAAAATCTGGTCTTTCACTAATTCCAGTTATTATTGCTCCACCTGAATGGCACCAGGTGTGATAAGGAAAAGTCAGTGATAGGCAGATTGAATGTTTTATGGCTGTGTATATACAGGCTGATTCCACCATTAACACAAATGGCAGGCTTGTTTTTCAAAACGTAAGGCCAGGAAACGTGGTATCCTGTATCCCTACTCAATGTGTCCAGTGCTCCATGAAACATTCTTGAGGTGCCTGCTTGGGTTTTTTACCCACTTCTTAACCCATCCACTGACTGCATATAAATAGTATAGTTTTTAATCAATACATATGAGATTCTAGGACTTATTTCACATGGATTGTTAGGGACAAGTCCCAATGACTTTTGGGATGGAGTTTGCTCTGTTTGTTAATGGGTTTATATAGTTTGATTGCCTGGGATAGCTGGGGACTTCACTGTAGGAATCTGGACCCTATACACTTCCAGATTTATGACATATTCTGTTTATCTAGAAAACACACACAGCATTTACAGAGAACATACAGACATACTTTATACCCAAGACAAGTGAAGATAGTACACAACATGATAAGATCACAGTTCAATCTCCAAGCCTGTTTGTCCCAGTTTAATGGCTGAGAAATCAGTCTCCTATTAGTTGTCTGTCAGGCACCTTCCTTCATATCAATTCCACTCTTTTAAAACTCTTCTCTTCACTGTCTTTGTATGGTATATTGATCTTTGGTAATGTGAACTGAGAATACCAGTTTTATGCCAGATGAAAGTTACCAGTAGTCTCTAACCTATTGATCTATGTAAATATTTGTAGTTCAGTCAGCATTATGGAGTTGAGTATTCTTTCATTTCAATGCCTATCATTCTGATCTGGGTTCAAATCAGCAGCAGCATCAGTCCCAAGCCAGCCGTACCTCCACAACAAGGGTCCTGGCCTTTAGAAATGTGTATAGTTTCTAGAAAATATTGCCTAGAATAATCAGATCTAACCAATCTTTGAGATACCATAGCTCTCACTTATGTCCTTGTACTGCTAGCTTACTTTCCAGGAGCATCAGTTGATAGATTACAAGTATTGTTAACCCAAGTTAGCACAATTCCTACTGGACAAAACTGTGGAAACTTCATGTTCTGTCTGATGAGCAGAACAGGGCATGATCATACAATACACCTTGAAATGAGCCTGGTATTGGAGTATGAACACTAAGTGGACATGAGCTGTGCTTTTAATACTTAGGACCCTTTGCATCCTTGTACCATCAACTTTCTATATGTTGATATTTGTCTCTGAGAAGAGTTACTTCAGTTCTTAACTCCAAAGATATCACACAGGATGCAAAACATAACATCATTCTTCACATCTATGTGAGAGAATGGACTACATAAGTGACTGTAATTCAAATTAATTTCAGAGCTTATAGTTATTTCATGTACCTCTTGGCTAACATTTGTATCTGCATAAATAAATTGTTTCAAAAATAACAGAACTCTAATCTACCTTGTCTTCTACGCAGATAACTAATTCAACACGAGGACTGTGTGAGTACAATGCCACTGCACTGTTCCTCTATTGATTAAAGGATTGGGCCTTAGACTTTTCCTTGCCAATCTGCCTTTCCTCTATTCCAGCAAATTTTACCTATTTCATGAGTCTCCTGGAGAATAAGAAAATAAAAATTTTACTTCCTTCCTGGTGAGGGAAAGTAACTGGTAGGATTCTGCAGTTTTTAGCAGGCATTCATCTTGGCAGAGAGGAAACCTGCTGGGTTTGAGGTCTTTTAACTGCTTCAGTACTCTACGGTTTTGTCACATCAGTAAATTGTGGACAACCACCTGTTGGATCCATATGCTGTAAAGCTGATTGCCAAGCAAAGGAATTGCACACAGAATGTCATCAGTACATCCTCCTGTGTGCCTTGTCAGTGGAAGGGAGGAAGGAGCTTTCTGCATTAAAAAGGCATTTTGCAATACATAAAATGAATTAAAATGAAGCTGCAGTGAGCACACATTCAGAAAAGCTCTTGGGAATAGCAAGTTTTCACCACATAGAAATTTGACCCTGGGATAAGGAATATACTGCTATTAAAATAATCAAATCTCTGTTAGAACTACTATCCATGTGTTCGTTGGGAAGCTGAGGGCGGAGGAGGCTGATGTGTTGATTTCAGCCTTCACCTAATTAAAGATGTAGTAAGGCTTAAACTAAAGCTTAATTGTGTGTACTATTCAAACAGTGCATCAGATCAGATCAGCAGATTGTTCTGCTCTATTCCTTCTACACCAGGAAAATCTGTTTCTAATGTTTCATTTTGTAAATGTGAGGGCATGGAGGATGACAGGCAAATTGACCACTAAAACCAAACCTGCAGAATAAAGATGAATAATCAAAGCCCATGCTATCACTTCATACTTCCTGCAAGCACTGCTGTACAGCAACTGGCTGCCAGCAGTTCTGCTGCAAACCTGAGCATGCAGCTTCAAGTTGTTCTGCTCCTGTACCGATGCACAGAAATATGACACACCAGTACACAAATTACCAGTAGGGTTTTTTCAGTCACTTCTGTAGGATGCACATGAACCTCCTCCCCATGCCAGGAAGGGAGAGCATTTCATTATGGTTTATTTTCAAACACCACTTGGATCATTTTATTGAAAACCACTGCACTGGCGTAAATCTCCTTCCACCACCGCACAAACACACTCCCCAAGACAGACTCCAAACCTACCTATAGAGTTAATCAAACTATCCACTTGAGCTGATCAATTGTTAACAGGACAGAGTAAAGAATGTAAAGGTCCCTTTGGGCTCCATTATTTAATGTGTCTTTTTATACCGTCCACATGAAGGGTTATATTGCAGCAGCATTTTGCTCCAGTTGCTTGCCAACGCACATGTGCCATCGAGGAGCCCTGAGCAAGCAGTTGCATCTGTGTCCACTCCTGTACCACCCATTTAGCAGAGACAATGATCACTAGAAACAACAAAGGAGCCACTGATAAAACAAACAATGCTGTGAGCCAGAGATCATTGCCATCCCAGGCAAGTTTGCCATGAAAATACTCAAGAAAAAGGGAGGGGAGTGGGGTGGGGAGGGAAGAGAGATATCAAATATAGAACTGCAAACTTGCACCTAGTAGAGGATTTACCCACGCAGCCACCCAACCCCACATCTAAGTAGCATTTTCTAACACCCTGCTAGGACTGAGCAAGAAAGACTGAGCAGTGCACATGGGAAGCAGACAAGCATCCAACGCCTCCTCCCATTTGGAGTCACATAGTCTCCTACGAGTCAATAGACACAAGGAATAATAATAATCGTTATTACTACAGTAATGATAGTAATAGAGAATCACCAACCTTGAGGATCCCAGTTCACCTGTTTTCTTGGAGTCTCAATTGGAAATTTCATCGCTTCCTTTTTGCAAAGGGAGTAAAAAGAATTAAATAAATTCCCAACCTTCCTGTCTCGATGCTGCAGTCAAACAAATTAATTTCAAATTATAGGGAGCCTGCGCTGTTTGACTGAGGGGAACTGGTGGTTGCCAAGGAAAGAAATACACAAATAAATCAAAGAAGGTGGGGAGGGGCGGGCAGAGGAGTGGAGTTGGAGCGGTTTGTACCGACGAGGTGAGGAGGGCTGCAAGCACCCCAGGAGAGAGAGGGGGAGAAGGGATGGAGTGAGGACCGGAGAGGACCTGGGGCGCAGGAACGGAGCGGGCTG